CCTCCCGAGTTTAAGTGATTCTCCTTCCTCAGCCTCCCGAGTAGCTGGGATTATAGGCACCCGCCACCACGCCTGGCAAATTTTGTATTTTTAGTGGAGACGAGGTTTCGCCATGTTGGCCAGGCTGATCTCAAATTCCTGACCTCAAGTGATCTGCCCACCTTGGCTCCCAAAGTGCTGGGATTACAGGCGTGAGCCACCATGCCTGGCCTGCTCATGAATTTTCTCTTTAACTTCCACATCGAAGGCAAAGTATTGTCTTGTTGAGGCTGTGCCTCCAGCACCCGGCGCAGGCTGGGCGCACATTCCCATTGATGAACCTGATTTGTAATGCCTGTCACCTCTTACCTCGTTTCTTCTAGGACCTAGCAATGCCCAGACATCTGTGTTCCCCTCAGAAGTCATCCTGCCCCGGGGAGGCTCCGTGAAAGTGAATTGCAGTGCCTCCTGTGACCAGCCCATCTTGTTGGGCATGGAGACTCCGTTGCCTAAAAAGGAGATACTCCCGGGTGGAAACAACTGGAAGATGTATGAACTGAGCAATGTGCAGGAAGATAGTCAACCAATGTGCTATTCAAACTGCCCTGATGGGCAGTCATCAGCTAAAACCTTCCTCACCGTGTACTGTGAGTAACTGAGCCCGGAGGGCTGGACTAGGCAGACTGGAGTGGGAGAGACGTAGAGGGGCACCTGCAGTGGCCTGGGGGAATCTTTGTTACTTGCTGGTACGGTCAAGGAGGGGCTCCTTGAAGGGCAGGTGGGGACATCCTTAGAAAGTCCCTTTAGGCCAGGCACGGTGGCTCATGCCTGTAATCCGAGCACTTTGGGAGGCTGAGGTGGGCGGATCACTTGAGGTCAGGAGTTTGAAAGCAGCCTGGCCAACGTGGCGAAACCCCGTCTCTACTAAAAATACAAAAATTAGCCAGGTGTGGTGGTGCTTGCCTTAGTGCCAGATACTCTGGAGGCTGAGGCAGGAGAATCACTTGAACCTGGGAGGCGGAGGTTGCAGTGAGCTGATATCGCGCCACTGCACTCCAGTCTGAGTGACAAAGCGAGACTCCATCTCAAAAATAATAATAATAATAAATAACAGCACAGATCTTTAGCATGGCCTTCAGTGCCCATGGGATCTTCCTTAATTGATCTCCCGCTCTTCATCCTTGCTTACTCAGCTCCAGCCACCCCGCCCGAGGACCTCTGTACTTGCCTGGAACTTACTTCCCTTTTCTCTGGACAGCCAGCCCTTTCTCATCATTTCGATCTCTGCTGAAACATTACCCTGTCACCAAGGCACTATCTATTCTATCACCCTGTTTTGTTTTTGTCAAAGCTCATATTAACATCAGTTATTAATTATCTTGTTTGCTCATAATTTTTTTTTTTTTTTTGAGACAGAGCCTCGTTCTGTTGCTCAGTCTGGAGTACAGTGGCACAATCTTGGCTCACTGTAACCTCCGCCTCCTGGGTTCAAGTGATTCTTGTGCCTCAGCCTCCCAAATAGCTGGGACTACAGGCACATCCCACCATGACCGGCTAATTTTTGTATTTTTAGTGGAGACGAGGTTTCGCCATGTTGGCCAGGCTGATCTCAAATTCCTGACCTCAAGTGATCTGCCCACCTTGGCT